AACTATGCGAAAAAAGACACATGCCACTCGGTAAGGCACCTATTAAGTGGCGGATCCAAGACCTGGCGCCCACTCTTCGGAATCAGTAGTCATTTCACAGTTCTGCTATGAAACCAAAATGTGGCTTAGTGGTTGATCTATGTCCATAGTTTCACCTATCACTTACAGAGTCTTTTAGAATAATCCTCCAAAGATACACTTTATTATGACAAATACAATTGTTTTAGCCTCTGAGTATAATTTTGGGTTCGAGCTCGAGGGTATACACATCGGGAGTGAGGTGTGTATTGAACATAAGAAAAGAACACAAGAGTGGATCGAATGAGATTCACGTTGTGTCTATGAAGCGTCAACGTGTGTGGACCTCTCGTGTGCCACATATATCCGAAATGGCAAACGATTTTTCGGGAACAAAGCGATTATTATTTACTGCCTTTTTCTTTTTAATGGAAGGGTATGTTGTGGAATATAACTAGTATATAATGTTGAGATATTTACAAAACTCTGGACCGCAGGTGTATGCGGTGTGGAACGAACGCGTGCCATTGTCCTTTCCGGGGAGTAGCGCATTATATTCCACAACATACCCTGCCATTAGAAAGAAAAAGGCAGTAAATAAAAGGGTTAGGATTGTGATTATAACTAAGCCTCAGCTTAACTGGGTTCAATGCCGATTTGGGCTCTCTAGATCAATCCCGTTGACGGGTGATTGCTGATGGCAAAAGATCAATAGAACCAGTTGAGAGACGGGCAAAACGAAGGACCCGGATAGTGTGGTGATGAAGTTCGCTACTCTCCGGAAAGGACAATAGCGCGCGTTCGTTTCCCACCGCATACACCTGCGGTCCGGAGTTTTGCAAATATCTCAGCACAATATAAAAGTGATCATTCCGGAAGTCACGGTTAGAGCAGGTCGCACGACTTCGGAACCTTTAACTGTTAACGTACTAAATCAAACATTATGTCACAGCGCTAAAATTGGCTCTCTTTCGGTTATTACTCCTTATTCCATTATATTCCTCCCAACGGTCTACCGCCTCACCGTGGCTGGGTGGTGTTCTTGGGTTTCGCACTGCGATGTACAGCGGGGGAATTAGTCACTCCGGCAGAGACTCCCAGGATGAGAAAGAGTCCGGCGTTTCCATAAGAAATCCTAGCTAAGAGTAAACCAACACCATGATCCACCACCATTATGATATCAAAGTCCCATGTTGCCAAATCTTCATCTGACCCACAAGGGATACGAATGCCTGTCGTGGTGACGAGCTGGGGCAGACTATAGCCAGGCTTACCTCGAGATTCCACGAAACCACAATGGCTTAGCCAGAAATTCTCGGGAAATGGTGATGGCGCTGAGGACTGCACAACTGTTGAGGACGGGCCGTTCACCTATCAAGTATCAAGTATTTTACCATATTTCTTGTTTTATGAAAAACAGTATTCAATTCAGCTAAATGCCCTTATCATTACCGCTCTAGTTTAGCTTGGTATAAAAATCATCGAAATTGTTTTTATTTTTCAGAAGGTTTCTTTCAAAAGCTTCGATAACATTGCCGATTTTTTCACTGCACTAATCAAAGACCAACCGTGTCAGAACGCATGAATCTCCTTGGCGTTGCGCGCCCGTTATTAGAATTAGGACCGAGTTTCTCACCATCTGAACCTATTTCTAAGGTAACCTTGCGTACGGTCGTATGTATATTACATGAACTTCAAGAGAGACTCCGCAAAAAGCTAGGGATGAAGCGCTGAATAGGCGCGAGCAACAACAAGTAGAGGGAGGCACTACCAATAACACCATTTCCTCAACCGCTCCTTAGACAGCAAGAACCCAGTAATCAAGTATGCGCTAAATTCCGGATATTTAAGAATGAAGCTTCCAAAATCCTTAACCAATATCGCAGGAAAAGATATCACTCCAAAATCACACAAGTGCCAAAACGTGGCTTGCGCGAGGTACGAGAGCTGATAACGTTGAAAAATACAAGACTATCCATTAGTGATAAGGGTGAAGACTTCATTGTAATTTCTTATCAACTAAATGTTAAGATAACGCTAAAGCATCTTGAAGATACTTCTCTTTATCGTCCATCATCTGAGAAGGAATTTAAAAGACAATACCGAAAGTTAAAAAGAATGTGTTGAAATTGCAAGAGCGGCTGGGTTAAAACCATCAGTTATCGCTCAACTCAAAGTTGACCTACCAACATGTTCCGTCCTGTGCTTATTTATCAAAAACCATAAGTTGGTATCTAGCGATGATCTTGTGTCTACCGACACATCGTTATGTAAGGTTAGATCTATCATTAGCTGTGTAAGCAGGCCAACGGATAGAACAACGTGGTTTATAACCCTAGTACTTACTCTTCTGTTAAGCTACATTCCAACCCATCTTATAGACACCGAGGTGTTCCTGGATCGTCTACGTAACGCGCGACCTAACATCGCGTACGTGATGGAGTCCTTCGACGTCACCGCCCTCTATACAAAGGTGTCGAATAACTCCGATATGCAAGCCATTCTCGAACTCCTTATACAATACGGCAAAGCAATAAGCATTTATAGCTTCACGATTTAGCAGTTGATGATAGTTTTAAAGAAGTGCCTAGACTTCTCAATCTTCAGGTGGTTTGGGAGGTATTACACACAAATGAGAAGTCTGGCAACAGGAAAACAACTGGCACCAAGCCTTGCCATCGCGTTTATGTCTAAAGTGGAAGCACTAGTAACCGACCTCCGGCCATTACTCCACTGTAGATATATAGATGACTGTTTTGTTATTTGCTCAACACAGGAGGAAATGGGCAATTGTTTTGAGGTACTGAATGAACAGTTAGAGTGTATTAAGTTCACCTGAGAGAAACCGAAGGCGAATTGGCTTCCATTGAACGTTCAAGTCAATCTATCAGTGAAAGGCTACATCACAAAATAGAGTCGAAAACCAAGTAAGAGTATCTTAGTTCATTACCTGTCGTCCCACTCCTCTCACTAGAAAAGAGCGCTTGTAAGGAACATGTTTCGAACAGCCACCAGCGTGTGCACAAGAAGAGAGCAGAGGGAGGGGTCCCAGAACTTCATACAGCAAATAGCCATTTTTAATGGGTACGAAGCTGTAGCTCGGGATAGGTGTAGAGGAGATTCCAGACTTCCAAACGACAACTCTAGCGGTAATAAGATCACGTTTATCCTGCCCTTCATTTCAAATGAAGCAAGTGCAGCTATAAAACGCTGTTTAAAAAGGGCGGGCCTAGAGAATTCGGTTACGATAATTGAAATGCCACCGAGTAATCTAAGACGCTAGTTAGTTCGCAACCGCCTGTATGACCGTGTATGTGCAACGCAAAATTGAATAATTTGTTCCAATGGTAGAGGCGGCGACTGCATGAGTTGGCGTACAGTCTGTCTGTTCTCTTGTAAAGCGTGCACAGACGAATACGTTGGCGAAACGGGTAGATCACTCTGCGTACGTATAAAAGAACACCTAGTCGCAAACGTAAACCAAACACTCCACTAGGCAAGTATAAGACGCAGAGACATAACGGAGAAGATTTTGAAGTAGTGGTTACGATCCTCGCACTGGAATCGAAAACGCAAGCGCGTAAAACTCTCGAGGCTTTCTGGATCAATTCCAAGATTCCGAAAATGAGTCGCAGGGAGGAATTCCTCATTATCACGCGTGACATTCTGCAGTATATAAGCCTGTTGTTCTAATGGAAGGGGCACATTAAGCTTCCGTGTGAATTCTGTGCGGTTGGTCTTCGCGCGACATACTCAGTAGAAGCCTCATAGAAAGCGGTGAGTATGCAAAGCTGTGCTCAATGTGAGTGAGATCTTGGTTTAGGGTTTTCTCTGTATGGTTATGGAGGTGTTCGCTAAGGTATATTGCGGTCAACTTTACCTTTCCAGGTTTTGAGGAAGACGAAATCAGCCGAAACGTCTGCTTGTTCTTGAATAAAAAATAAAATAACACCTTGTATTTGCTCAACAAGAATATAAAGCACTGATAAGAGCTTTATTACAGTTTAATTATCAAATAACCTCTTTCTTCCAGCAACGCGCGGCTGATACACTTCAAAATGTATGAACGCGCAAATAGTTCAAAAGATCGACTTTCTATGAACCTCGAAATAATGAGCTGATGCGAGGTGGGTATAAGTTGTCGTTATTGTAGCCGTTGTTGTTGTTGTTGTTGTTGTTGTTGCCGTAGTTGTCGTTGTTGATGGTGTTGTTGGTCAATGACTGACGTTTCGACGATTTCGCCTTTCCCAGAGTTGTGTTATTAGGAGTGGAACTGTCGAAGCCAAGGTCAGCCTTTGACCAACAACACCAATAGCAACAACAACAACAACAACAACAACAACCAAAGCTTATACAACCTCACATCGGCTCAACATGATGAGTTCATAGGACCATATAAACAAGTATGTGAACTCGTAACCACGGATCTCCCTCACATTAGGGAACTCGAGCCGGTTAGTCGCGACGCTACGTGGCGCCTCTCCAGGTGGTGGATAGGGGGTTAATCGGAGACCAAAAGCGACCTTTGCCTCTTTGTGACGCAGGTGGATCCAGGAAATGGACTTCCTGTTTCTGCTGCGCTAATTTCGCTCATACTTTCTGTATTTGCTAGAAGTATTTATGCATGCGTTTGCGAGTGAATCCTTGCTTATGCGGATCGTATTCTACGAGTCAATTCTGCCAAAAGCCTGCAATCAAGTGATTCGGAAGTATATGGTAGGTGGTTAAGAGTTTCCTCCAACAAATGAGATCCATATCCACTCTGGGATAGCTTGGCAAGCTACCCGTAAATTTACCCGGCCCCACGTTCAGAGCCCAACAAACTATACATGGGTGTCAAAAATGCTAAACACAGCGAAAAAAAAAGAGCCTTATTCCCCTGACCCCGAAAAAGCCCCAATTTCGCACCGTTGGGTAGGACGAGTACGCACAAGTTGCTAAAATCACAAAGCCAATGGAAGCTGCGTAGATTACAAAGAACTATGGTGACGATCTGTACCTACAATGCACGTACACTTGCATCCGAGTCGTCGATAAAAGACTTGCTCATGCAAGCAAGAAGGATAAGGTACGACGTCATCGGCCCGGCCGAGACAAGAAGACGCCAGCCTTTCAACGCTGTCTATGACACCGGAGAAGAACTGTTACTCGAAACATGCGACAGTAGAGGAGTCGGCAGCATCGGCGTTCTCGTCAACACGAGTTTGTCCATGAACATCGATTCATTCGAACAACTTATAACCCGAATCGGACCTTTACGATTAAAAAGACGTGGGTTAATTCCGGCTTTGACAATCCTCGTCGGTTACGCGCCGACATCAAACTATGACGAAGAAGAAGTCGAACCGTTCTATATGGACTTGGAGAAGTTCTACAGAGAAGACCACACCTTCTCCAAGGTCTTCATTCGAGATTTCGACGCCAAAATTAGACCAAAAAGAATGCCACATTGAGACCCACGGATTAGAATGGAACGAACAGGGTGAGCGGCTATCTGATTTTAACATGGCGACCAAAACGATCCTTGGTAACTCGCAATTCCAGAAGTCTCAGCCTCAACTCTGGACGTGGAAATCTCCCAATGGAGGGTACCGTAACGAATGTCGCTGTTGTCTCAAAATTCTACAGGAGATCAGACCATCGTCTCCTTCGTGCACGATTCTATTTCTCCCGGAAAGGAGAAAAAGCCGCTAAATTCCAAAACCGTTTTCCCAGAACCACCGTAAACTGGGATAGATTTAATTCATTAGTCGGCTGTTGGGAAGATACCGTTGTCGATAACATCAACGAAGAGTACGATCGGCTCATTCAAAATCTTCACGTTAGCGCTATGGAAGCTCAGAGTTCGAAAGTAACTCTGCCCCTCTGTCTCCAGAAACACTCGAGCTGATACGCCAGCGTGGAATCGCACGAGCTGCAGGCAATCGCGAACTAGCGTCCGTACTTGCAAAACAATGCAGACAGGCGATAAAAGAAGATCTTAGAGAGAGAAAAGCAGCAGTAATGGCCGAAGCTGCAGAGGATGGAAAAAGCATTCGCAAAGCCCACCGAATCTTACGTAATTGCAAGATCAAAATGATTGTGCTTGGGCGCCCAGACGAGACAGTTACAGCGTGCAGAAAGGCAATGAAGAAAATCGTTCACAAATACTACTCGGATCTCTTCGATAGCTACGTCCGCCTTTAGTAATACGAAATAAAGGAGGATGGATATGTTGCGCCACCTGTTCTCCCTTCCGAAATTGCCATTTCGTCGGTGAAAAATCGAAAAGCACCAGCTCCGGACAGGATAAGGTCTGAACACCTGAAGAGCCTTCCGCCAGTTCTCGTTAAGCGGACTAGCTCGGTTCTTCACACGTTACTTGTCTGAATACAAGGTCCCTACTCAGTGGAAAACTAGCAAGACCGTGTTATTGTTCAAGAAGGGTGACCTGCACGATATCGGCAACTACCGACCAATCTGCTTACTGTCTGTCGTCTACAAACTTTTCACTCGAGTCATCCTAAACAGGATTGACAGAACACTAGATGAAGAACAGCCATGTGAGCAAGCAGGGCTTCGAAAAGGATTTAGTACGATAGACCACATCCACACGGTAACATTGCTCATTGAAGTAACGCGACAGTACAAAACACTGCTCTGTCTCACTTTCATCGACACTGAACGCCTTTGATTCAAGTGGGATAAAAGCAGTCATAGAAGCCCTTAATAGTCAAGAAGTACCTACTCAGTACATAAAGACTCCTCGTGAGCTCAACAAAAATTTCATAACCAAAATATCACCGTTCTACAGCGCTATTAACATTGACATCAAAGGAGGAGTTAGGCAAGGCGATACCATCTCGCCAAAATTGTTTACCGCCACCCTCCAGAACGTCATGCGAACATTGGAATGAGATAATATGGGGCTGAAAATCGACGGTCGACAGTTACACCATCTTCGCTTGCCGATTACATCTTTTTTATAACACCAAACATTAGCCAAACGGAACGTATGCTTGACGACTTTGATAAAGTCTGTGGAATGATTGGTCTAAATCTCACAAAAACGGTGTTTATGAGGAACTGGAAGGGCAATGGTAGGAATATCTCGTTTACACAAGCAAGGGAAGGAATCCGAAGCTCCGATCTGAGTCAACGATCAAAAATCAAGGATGCTGTTCTGTACGCCAAACAGTCGAAGATAAGGTGGGCCGGGCACGTAATGTGTATGAATGACAATCGATGGAGAAGAGCCGTTAGTGACTGGATTCGTCGGGATATCAAACGTACTGCAGAAAGACCACTGACCCGATGGTCAGAGTTCTACACAAAGAGCCTTGAAGAAAGATATGATGCTCAACGAGTCCCTAGAGCGAGCAGAGCCCACTGGGCTACTCTCGCACGCGACAGGGAAAAATGGAAGCTTTCCTGGCGCCCGCTCGAGTCACTCGACGATCAACGGGATTACAGGTAATATAGGTGAAGTGGATTCGAAAAACCAAACTCTCTTCGCAAACGGAAGATACACAGGGCTCCATCGTGGAATCGTTTCCAACGTGATGCCATTTAATGAGCTCTACTTTTGTTACACAGGTGATATCGATGACCTCTTTACTAAAATCAAAGTGCGACGGAAACCCGTGCACAGACAGATGTCGCAAAACATCGCGCTTCTTAAGATGAGGAGAATCTGTGAGTCAACCTCGAAATGATTACAGCCCAGAACGGTTCGTTAACAATAAGTGAGAAATGGAGAGAACGTCTTCTGATAATGAGTTCATAGAGTCCGGAGCTCCATTTGTGGGAAAATAGAAGCAAGAAAGGAAAGGAAAGAGCCTCCATGCTCTTCTACTGATTACATTGCGATAACGTACATTACCATATCTTACTAAATAAGACCGACCGACGAGAACAAATAGTAAAACTAAAAAAACCACTTGATTGGAGAAAGTTGGAGCATCAATTAGTGGATCACCAGTTACCTTAAAAATTTAAGGAAGCCACAATTATGCAATACACAAATGGCCATTGGTTCGGTCCCGCGCCCTGAACTAATTCATCAGACCATTTTTTCTTGGTCGCTAAACTGATATCAGATGTGTCTGGGAGAAGGAAAGAGTGACTTTATACATATGTGGGCCTCTGCATGTCATAGTATGAAAATAAGATGCATTCAATCTTCCTTGCGGCACTTAAAGAAGTTTGATAGATTCGGCCACTCTAGGTTTGGGTGAGCATCGAGTGCTACAAGACCTCACACATGTCTTGTACTAGTACTGTTAATTCAGCCATAACTGAAATTTTTGATATGTTTTATATAAACACAGTCAGTTCCTTTGTTGATTCTTCTGACTTGAGAGCGGTCAGTGCACCCTAAGTGACGTTTATTGTGGATATAGAAACACACGAGGCCTGTTGATGGCAATTTACCTAAGTATGCTATTTGTTAGAAATTGATCCAGAGCCATTTATGTGACGTTCATTTGTTCCAATAAGTAGATTTTCAACAATATCTACCTTATAATTGTAGCGTAACCAAGAAATCATTGAGCGATTGAGCAGTGTTCAACGATGCGGATGCAAAATGCTCACCATGCACCTATTTCAGTAAAATTACTCGGGACAAGAAAAACGACTGAACTTTCTCCACTGAGAAAAACGCACGCCCTCGAGTAAAACTATTTTTAGCTCATACGGTTCGCTTTGGCTCAGATCAACCGCGAAAAGGTACAGAAGCCTTACGAAATTAAGCTCAAGATGTCATGAAAACCCTTCAAGAATTCTAAAAACGATTCGTTCTGTTATAACACACTTCCGTAGTCAAAATCGTTTGAGTAGGATCTGTCACTCTACCAAAGTCATAAGTTAAGATGGAAACTGGGATGAAGACTATGAAATAAAGAAATAAAGTACACTGCTGAGAAATTTAGGGATACGAGAGTTTAATAATGAGTTTCATTGAGGAGAATAATGAAGGATAAACTATGAGAATCCTCTCGTCTTCCATCTAAAATCCATCTTTCTACGAATAAAGAGCATCACTCACAATAAGAAAATCCCTCTATCGCTTCATCCTCACTGATGGTAGAGCGTGATTCATCGACCACTCTGCGCGAACTCATGCCAAAGTGAAATGTTTCCAGAGGTGTAACTATTCAAGAAGATAAGGGAAGAGCGTTATTCAGATTAACGGTATCAATCCACACAGAACTGGTATCATTTACTGCTATGAGAACGGTAGGAATAGAGAGTGGTTTGGTCTATTTCTTAATCTTCAAACCCTCGATTAAACCTACGATTACATGCCATCATAGATAGCTACTTGCTATCCTCCAAGAAGAGTTCAAGTCACATGACAGTAGATCTCATTTCGATCCATGTGCTAATCCATACATTCAGCAAGCAAGCCAACCTGAAGAGTAGCGCACAAATTCTCAAGCTTTAGCCGTATCTATATTCGTATGCGTAGGAAATGTCGGAATTCTTAATAAAGTGAAGAAGATCCGTTCTATTATTTAATCCGGTGAAAATTAGAAATCGATATAAATGCTTGCATGTATGCATTTAAATGCAGCTTCGTTTTGTTTGAACATAGTTAAAAGATAGAATAAAAGCGCTCGGTTTTGACTTATGAGGAATGTATAACCCGCTGGAGTTCGTGAAGGAGCTCTGCCTGTACATGTGCTTGTGGTGGCGTAGAGATTTGCTAAATGAACAGAAATTCCCAATCGCGGACTGATCCAGACTTGGTGAACTTGTGGCACCAAATAGAACCAAGAAGCGGCCTTTAATGTATTGGAGGGCTTGTCTAACCACTGAATTGCACGTGCCCTTCGTGCAAAGAGACTGCTTTTCATAACAGTAACTTTTACTTTAGCTTCCTTTTGTCTCTGCTTTTCATTTCGTAATAGAACAAGATGGTTTGTTCCACCTGCCGAAGTGTATGTATACATCCATGTACACTGACATTTGCGAAAATATCTGTATACAGAAGACATATTAATCCATGATAACAAACCAGTCCATTCAAGTGAGTAGAAGCTCTTTTTTCTTCTCATTAACACCCTGTATTCCTTGTGCAGATGCGACATGGTCTTCCAATGAATTGATTGTGGATTCCTCTACAGTATTAGCTGTCGTAAAACAGGACTTTTTACTTTTAAGCGCCTAGATTCTTTACGAAAATCAATGCTGGAGTGCAGACTTCCACTCATAATTGTGTATACGAAAGCCAACTAGATGACTTGAAGTAAGAGACGAGGAGTGGTCGACGTATAGGCGTTGACTCTTGAACAGAAAGTAAAAAAAGTAGAGGAACATGGACTTATTAACTAAGTATTACTACTCGTATGAAATGCTGAGATATTTGCAAAACTGCGGACCGCAGGTGTATGCAGTGGGCAACGAACACGCTCTGTTGCCCTTACCGGGGAGCAGCGCACTCCACCACTAAACCATCCAGGTCCTCTGCGTTGCCTGTCTCTCAGCTAGTTCTATCGATCTTTTTGCCATCAGCAATCACCCGTCAACGGGGATTTTTGCAAATATCTCAGCATTTCATACGAGTTATATTTCGCAACATACCCTGCCATTAAGAAGAAAAAGACAATAAATAAATCTGTTAAGTTTAAGCATTACTAACTTTTTAAATTGTTTTGACTAGATTAACTATCATAAAACGGAATAACCTAATGAGCTTCTTCATTTGAGCGATGCTTGACTCCACAAAATCAGACGCGATGTTCCGATGCAAAGACGATGAAACACGTGGCGTCGGCGACCTGCCATCGATGATCGACTCGGAGCAACTAGGTTTCTTCTTAACCTATGTTAACTATTCGAAACAATATGTAATATATTAGGGTTTCTCATCTTATAGTGCAATGAAAACAGGATATTTAGTGGTGAAGATGAGAGTTAGGAGCTCTATGCGTTGTTGTTCGACTGGTAAAAGAAGAACTTATTTGTTGAAGATGGGGGTTTAGTGGAAAGCAATGAACATAAGATGTGCCGAAACAGAATTTTTGCCTTTTTACCTTAAGTCACCGATCAAGGTGTTCAAGTAACGGAGAGCGAGACTTTAATGGAAAAACAGTGATTCAGCTGGTAGTGCTTCATTGTTCTCAAAAGAGGATGCCGGTAGTCATAGTGACGTTTAGAACGCTCTCTGTTGGAAGCGAAAGTTGAGGGCACAAAACTGCTCTTAGATTACGAAAACGCCCACCCACCAGCACTAACAAGCGCTGCAGTTACTGCGTATAATAGAGGTGACGTCAAAGCGGCGTGATCGTCTCTGTTTTCAACAAAATTGGAAATTTTTTGGTGAAAGGGGCGACTTCGGGGGATCGGAGAAGGTAAGCCGTGGCTTCATGTGTTTTCGCGACTTTTCACTGTTTCACGTCAATGAAATGGTCAAAGCGTAACCAAGGAGCAATTTGTTACCGTTCCTTTTTACATAGTTTTCGAATGTTTTTTTTTATAATGTTCATATCGGATTGGTCCAAAGGGTTGCAGTTAGAACTATGAATGACAGTTGTAATTAAGTTGACTTTGTCGACTAAGTTAAGAGCCACTATAATCTGCGCGTCTTCGTCGTCAAAATACAAGTTTATTTAATTTAGTAGCACAGAACTGTGAAGGTTTCGTAGAAAGCACTATTATGAAGTCTCGCACAGGGTGCCAAAACGCCAACGCGCAAACTTTTTGAGGCTTCTCGGATAAATGGCAAGAACTTTAAAATAAATAGCAAGGAGGAATTCTCAGAGGTTACCCACGATCTGACCTCGTATCTTCGCATCTGTTCTTGACGCGATGTTGTGCAGTCATCAACCATACGCGACTCTGACCAGGTGTTCTTCCTCAGTGGAAGACACGTAATAAACGGTGGGTATTTCGAGAAACTGCTGATCGTGTAATTATCCTTCAAGTTTTCAACTTTCTGCTTGTGCTGTTTAAGGGTTTGACCCAGTAAATTGCACATCGATATACCTTTCCAAGGCGCGTATGGCGCAGTGGTTGGAGGAGCCACTGCGTCACACACGTGGAATCGATCCCCGTGCTCATGGCCCGCCAAGGCTTCCATCTCTCCGGGGTCGACAAATTGGTACCAGACTTGTCTGGGAGGATTACACCACTGGCTCGATACATCGGTAGGCCACCGCGAGTCTTTGTGAAGGCCAGATATGCATTCAATCACCTCCAACGATACTCAATGAAGTCGAATGCATGGCGCATCCCTCAGGGGTTGATCAACGCCGAGAGCTTTATCTCTCTTTATATCCTTCCAGGCTCTGAAAAAGGTGACACTGCCGAATTCTCGGCCACTGTTCCATTATGTGCGTTTTTATATGGAAGTGAACGTGTGCTGAATAACAACATCGCAATTACTGAGAAAGAAAACGACGCATTTATAGTCCAAGCCTCTTTCCTAGCGATATCGACAGTTTCACTCTTAAAATTTAGTCTGATAATACGGCAGCGAATATGAAGCAAAAAAGAAACTATCGCCCATGTCGCAATGTGCACAAACTGTATCACGTGTCATATGATCAATTATCGAGTGGAACGCCTGCATACGTCGGCGACGATGTACTAAACTAGGCTCCCCACTCAAAGAGAATGAAAAGTACTATGTTGTCCGTTCGGAATAACACTAAGTCCAAACGCCATGTTAGTTACTTCCCAGATTGGGGGTTAGCATCACGTATAACCAAGTTTTCGTATGGTTCTTGTTTATCAGATGTCTCTAAGATGTGTCCTGCCATGCTATTCAGAACTGCTGATCCTTTCCTTCACGTGTTGAGCTACACTCTCAGAATCGCCCTCTCAATAGCAGTATAATATAAAGCTGAGCGATCCTCCGTGCGGTATTTTTGGCTTTCTGGTTTCTGAAGAACACATAGGCACAAGAACTATTGTGAATTTGAGATGTGCGAACCAGTTATTTTTGATATTTACCTAACACACTTAGACTTCTTGAAGATTCGTTTCTCTCTGCTCAGCATTCATGCAAAGTTTGTAGCGCTGATCCACCGACCGAGACAGAAAAATTAGAAAAATTGGAGATATTTATTTCCATACATACCTTTCTTTCTCAGCAATCACGAGGTTGTTAAACAGCATACTTTTACTTCCATACAATAACACACATACAACACAACCGTAGCTGACGTTTCGGCAGAATCGCCTTCTTCAGAGCCGCTTTCTTCACCTGTCTTTCATCGAGGAAGAACAGCAACTCAGAGTTGCATATGGTTGACGTCTGCACAACCCCGCATCAACGATCGATACGAAGGTACGGGACGAGATTACTTGTGATCTCGTGTCATTCCTCCCTGCTAGCCATTATAGGATTTTTGGCACTTATTCAAAAAGCCTCGAGGAGTTTGCGCGTTGGCGTTTTAGGATCCCGTGCGAGCGGACTGACTTCCACATCAAAACCGTCTCCGCTATGCTTTTGTATCCTGTGCGTCCTTAGCGGCGTGTCTTGCCTTACTTTTCGTTTGCCATTTAGGTGCTCTTTTATGCGGATACATAAAGGCCTACCCGTTTCGCCAATTTATTCGTCTCCGCAAGTACTGCAAGAGATCAAGTACATCATACCTGAACTCATGCAGTCACCGTCCCTGCCATAAGGGCAGTTTACGCAATTTTGTGTTTCACATAGACGTTCGTATAGGCGGTTATGAACTAACTGACGACGTAGAATTGTCCGGTGGTATTTCAACTGTCGCTATCGATTCCTCTACGCCCGCACTTCTTAAGCAACGCTTTATACCTACGCTTACTTCATCACTAATAAAGGGTAACATAAACGGGACTTTCTTTTGGCCAAGTGCTTCGTTTTGATGCGTCGCTTTCCTTCTAATCGTGCGGTAACTATTTTGTAGCCATTGGAAATGGCTATTTGCCCAGCCAAGTCGCGCGATTCTTCCTTTAGTTCCCTACTTGTGCACACAGAGGTGGCTGTTCGAAACGTGGTTCTCACAAGCGCCCTCTTTGTGTTTCAAAGCCTCCACTGAGCTAACTTTTTTCTGGCCAGTAGTTAGAAGACGGAAAAAGTTAGCATTATGTCAGCTGTATCAGCTGGCTATCACTATGTATGGCAAAAAGAACATTCTGGATTTAGGGCATGTCAGAAAAATCACATTTCCCTTTGTCAATTTCAAAGAGAGAAAGCGGGTAAATGCATTTACAGTCTATTTCTCACCTCTTCAGTTCGAAGCACACTTAATCCCTTCCAGTTGCTTTTAATATTAGTAGTAAGAGAAAACACTAATCTTCATTCTGCGAAAGAATCGAGCCATCCAGGTTAAATGATAAAGCCGCTCCACTTGATCATCACATTTTGAAATTCAAATTTCGCTCCCTGCCCCTTAGGCTGCCCCTCATCTCGCATGCAGGTCTTGTTGGCCCAAAATTGTTGCGTGGTCAGGGCACGGTCCCATGACGCTTTATCACACTTGTAACATACAATTTCTTCTTTTTTTCTTCATATGATTAGGTTATGGTACTTATTCCGCAAAGTAGTTATTATCTCTTTACTTCAACACACAATCACGAGGCTAATGTCGTCAAGCGTTTCAGATAAACGGCGTTTTGGGACATAAACTAAAGGGGCGCTCCAGCGATGCAGGCAGGAGATCCAGCACGAGGGCCGGGGCCTACAGGATACGCGTCACGGTCGCGATTGCCGTCGAATTAGAGACTCATTCCATTAACCTTTTCACTCCCGCACGGCATCGCGTGCAGTTTATGTGACACCTTTCCTAGTTAACAGTTCTTATTTAACGATTGCAACATCATTTCCTCGTCTCGTTATTGTGGTGTACTCCTTGGCGGTTTAGCTGGTCTACGGTGCGTAGTCAGTAGTCGCGGGTATCACCAAGTGCTTCCTGTTTGTAACGCCATCAGTGGCATGTCAACCATTCCTTCCACAATGTGCGTTATACGTACAACGCTGCTGGCCACCCTACTTTTGCTGTGTAACTGCGATGCCGCTATAGTTAGCTTACCAGTTCTTAGTCCCTCTATTCATGGCTCAAGTCACCCTTAGGTCAATGGTTGCACCTATCGATACCCAAACTTCGCGTTGCAGACATAGCATTATCCTAAACGAACCGCCTGACTGTGTTCCGCAGATGACTGACCAATCGTGTTATCGTACATCGGCCTTAGTAAATACTTGGTGATTGCATCCTCCTCATCTCATTGCTCATATTATCCATTAATCTGGTATAACCATGAGAATGCAAGACCTGGTAGGTACGGCCCAGGTCAGTTGTGCCTGCCTACTCTGCTGATCTACGCCGAGTGCACTATCTTATCCACTCTACCCATCTGCGCCCAGCGCACTATCTCTCACACCCGCTGCACCGGCCATTGATGGTGTGAGCGAGATATTTTGCTCATTGGTGTCTAGTTTTTGTTCTCTAATCTACTTCTTATTGTAAATAACGTTGTATCAGCGTTATAGCAGTATTGTAGTAACATTGTCATGCACTAGCCTCACTTCTGCTGTAGCTTCTCATATATTTTGACTTGCATTATTCTTTGCCACTACTTTTCTGTCGTTACAATTACATCATTATTGCATGTTGTGCTTATGTTTATAAAGGTTCAGTTAAACGAGTTTCAGGCTGGTCAATCAACACAAATTAGGAAGGTCCGCATGGCAGAGTCACATACACGTGAACATCCAGGCGTCCCCACTATAATTATGATGCATCGACTTCCTAAGCATCAGCGAGCACCGCTGCAGCCACTGCAACATTTTACATGTTCTTGCTGTAGTTTCCAGATTTTTGTTTATTCTCACTAATGGTTTAAAGGGATTGAAGAGACCTCTCTGGGAGGGTAGAAGCACTGGCTCGATACATAGCCAGGCCACCGCGAGTAAATGCAAAGGCCAGATATGCATTCAATCACCTCCAACGGCGCTTAATGAAGTCGAGCATACGGCGCATCCCTCAGAGGTCGATGAGCGCCGAGAACTTTTGTCCTTTATCCTTTAATTTTTTTTCGGACAGTTCTTAAATTCGGCATGCTCTCTTTGTCATGCTTTTGATAGCCGGCGGGTATTGTTAACGTGACACTGGGTTTCACCAGGTTCTAACCACTGATCAAAGAAAGAGTGATTCACTCATAACCGCCACATCCATTGTGAAAAGTCTTGCCCTTCCACCTTTCGATTCGTTTTTTCGTGTACTTCATCCACAAGGGGCTACAGCTTTTTCACGCTGCATCAAATTTTGTTTGAGGAATTTCCTGCTGTTGCCACTAATGTAGCTGAGTGTTGGTAGAGTCCATTCCTCAGAATCATGGAATAGCCGTGCCCAGAAAATCTCCAAATCTTCATCGCAAGTGCTATCTTTGCGTCGGAGGGAGCGAATTGGCTGCGTACACGTCCGATCACAATTGTTAAGCACGTTATTATCATCTATACGTTACTGTCAAGCAGTTATTCCTCGTCTCGCACACTATTTTTTTCATCGAAGATCAATTTTTACAACATTGAATCACTTGAATAGACGAGTAGTTAGGCATTGATCAATTCATCATCGAAGGTAACGGCGAAAGATAAGGCGATACGGAATCTGAAGTGAAACGTCCAACGCTTTCTTTTGAAGAATCTGAACATTATATTGGAAGACGAGTACAGTTATGGTGATGACCCTTCCGATGCAGTGGTAAGTCATTGTCTAACACTGTAGGGACTTGCCAACACTTCATCGTGGCAGTAAGTTTTTTGTGAAAAGATATTTCTTTGCTTCGGTGTGCAGAATGTGTGAGCTTCTACTTATTACTTCTCGCCGATATTTGCAGGCTGACTGATTGGGACGGACGCTTGCCGATTGCAGAATGTGTTGTGGAAAAAGCTGTTCACAAGATGAGAAAATTCCTTGGGCGTTGCCTTGAGATGTGAACTGTTAAGTTGAACAGCTGAGAAATAATTACAGTTCCAGTCCTGCCCTTGCAAACCATCCTATTGTGCCCATGCTATGAGCACAGAGAGGTGACTTGACAACCTCCATTTTGGCAAACACAATATATCATACGACTGACAAGGCAGAAAGCGGATGGCAATGCCATTAAACGAACGTATCAGTAGAATTTGCTTCACAACATGCATTCCTGGGAAACACGTGTATATTGATGAATCCCTATTTAGTACTATTTAGAAGCAGAGTAGTGCATACCTGCACTACTAGCTAGCGATTTCCTATATTGCTATGGATGTATGATTTTGATGATCGAAGCCCACAGTCATGAATTGGTTTTTGCTCAAACTATACCTTCGTGGGAATGTGATCACGTGTCTTGCCGCAGAAATCATGAAACTGTAGTGTGGATTCCGTTTTCTCGTCGATGGAGTATATTGAATAGTTGTAGAGTCAGTAGCACAGAAGTAAGCGCCTAGGTTGTCAAACAAACCCTACTTTTAGTTTCACACTAAAATGAATGAATTTTGGATGTTCAAGTAATTATTCGTCTCTACCTTTGTCTGGTGGTACTTGCAGTGGATTTTTTGTCGTTTTGTTACCCTCAAGTATTTTGGTTGGACAATAGAGCCTGTGAAATTCGACCACAATGATGCTGATATACTTGCAAAACTTAGACTCCAGGCCAAATCGGACCACGATTACCCTTTGCGGAGGCTCATATGTTACGCGAAACACCACTGTGACCCTCGTTCTGGGAAATAGAACTTGTATTAATATATGGAGTTTCAGTTATAGCGGAGTTATGTGTGACAAAGTGTGCAACAATTACAGACAAGCTGAAAGCTGTGAGAGCTCGTAGGATCCGTGTTCTTCAACAGATCGAGGTAATAGTTCGAAGTGTGACAATTTCTAGAATTACTAATTTATAACGCTTCGTATTTCTAGACAATAGGAGAGTGCATAAAACTAGTGGTTGACGTGCTTTTGGCTGAGGTGAGACGTTTTTCTGGAATACGTGAGATGCTTATGGCCGAGATGAGATGTCTTTCTACAATACAGCAGCAGGATGGTAATCTCCCACATGAAGAGAAGAAGGTCAAAGCCGGCTAAGTTAAGATTGATTCCTCTGTGAGCAGTATTTTAAGCGATTTTTAAGTTTTTTAGCATGTAAATTTTATGTGAAACTACTTGGATTTGTTGAAGCTTTTGTCTACTTCTTTGTTTATTTGATGAATTTCTATGTTGCTTCTTCTTCTTCTTCTTGGTTCTCTTTGTCTTCCATTCCATTTAATGAAGCGTTCTGTTCTACTTGAATACTTTGCTGTTAAAGTTGTTTTAATGAAGTACTGTTATTATCGTAATCATTGAGCATGGTTTTCCTCATTCTTTGACTGCTTGAGGTCGAATTTTAGTGAGTGATGATGGCGTTTCAAGAGCTGGGTGTTATCACAAAGCTTGGTTATGCAGTTTCCAAAACGGCGTTAGAGCACGGCACTATTGTTTGTTCATGCAAAAAAGTAGGAAGCTCATATCCTTCGAAGGATAGTAACTAAGTTGTTTATAGCACTTACAATATTAATTGGTAACTTTGCTCTCAGTACTAGCCATATATAAACATTAAGGTTACCGACTCCAATCTAGGGTGATGGAATCGCACCAATCCTTGCTGGTTGTGGAGATGTACTCATGGTATGTTGTTACGTTAAAGTGTTACCTTTCTGATAACAACACCTCGTGCTAGCATTATGAAAGTCAACCGTATGATTTACAGCAAAGATGAAATGCTTTTAAGGCTGCCGAAACAGATATTAAAAAATAACTAGAAATGGTAAAACTAGCGTTTTCTTTGTCCGTAGTACAAAATTGTCTGGGAAACACGCGAAGATGCGACAAATCCACCATCCGCTTGGAGTGCGCAAGTATGCTAGAATTTTGTGTTAGGCATTTATTTCCGTCTTTTGCAAACCCAATTTCTTTTTTCGGATTTATGTGCGCCGTTGAAGAGTTTTAGTTCTTCAAATAGTTTTTACACCATGTTTTTGAAACATTTTTTAATAACCTCATCGTTGCTGAGATATCCGCAAAACTTGGACCCGGGCCAGATCGTACCACGATTTTTCTTTCCAGGGGCTCGCACACTACACACCTCGCCACAGAGAGAAATCGTGGTTCGATCTGGCCCGGGTTCCATGTTTTGCGAATATCTCAACATCGTTGTGGTTGTAGTTCACATCATAACCTGCCGTGAAAAATTATACTAGGCAGAAAATAAAAGGTGAACATTTTTCTAATAGTTAGGGGATCTCGAACCTGATCAATATTTTGTAATTCCCTTCATCAAAAAAAAGACTGAAGGTGGGTTGCTTATATTTGAGTCTTAAACGCTTTTCCATGGTCGTAGCCTCTTATTTTGCCTAGGCTCTTCCAACAGTTGCGATGTTAATCCTAAGATGCCTAAGCCAATCTGTTGAGATTTTCTGTCTATAAACGTTGTTGCCATAACTCGTATGAAATGCTGAGATATTTGCAAAACTCCGGACCACAGGTGTATGCAGTGGAGAACGAACACGCGCTGTTGTCCTTACCGGGGAGCAGCGCACTTCACCACTACACCACTACACCACTACACCATCCGGGTCCTTCGCCTTGTATGTATCTCAGCTAGTTCTATCGATCTTTTTGCCAGAACTAGCTGAGATACATGCAAAGCGAAGGACCCGGATGGTGTAGTGGTGTAGTGGTGTAGTGGTGAAGTGCG